CACACCCCCAACAGGCCATGAAGTACCAAGCAACCTCCCACGGGCATACCCAGGTCACACGACACTTACCTGTGAGGCCCGGCCTCCAAAGATGGATAACGAGTCACCCCCCTCTCTCATAAGTCCTCCTGACCCCTAGCTACCACTACACGAAGTGTCCTAGCATGACTAAGAGGGCCTTCCTACACCCCTGTTGCAAAGCCAGATCCCCCGTTGATGTCTGAAGACCAAAGTAGCAACTTGCAGCAATCCGATGCAGATATGGCAACCTCCAATCAAGTCTCCCTCTTGAGGGGAAGCCCAAAAGTCACTCAATGTCTTCCTGAAGTCCAGATTCCAGGTGCGAGTACCTCTCACTCTCTACTCCCTCTCGCTTACTCCAATCAGCCTCCTTTGTGTCTTGCCACCCCATCCATTCACTCAGTCAACCTGGTTAGGTCAAATGTCGACCCAACATGACCTAAACAGGTGGGGGCAGTATCCACATACCTCACTGCCCCACTTAACCCTAACTTCCAACCCTAATCCGAGATTAGGTTAGCCCTGACCTAACTCGGAATTAGGTTTAGGGTGACTARCACCTCTCGCCAGCAAGTAAGTCCGCTCCGATACCAATTGTTACGATCCTGGTCATTTCCCAAGTGCAAATTCACAATGAAAGACAATGCCACCCAATTGCGAAAGAAATGAAAGCACTTGCAAAGAGATAAAGACCAGAAGAGAGGGGAAGAAGAAGAAGAAGAAGAAGAAGAAGAAGAAGAAGAAGATGTACACCAGCAAGACCAATGACAATTCCCCCCTTCTCTCTCCGCCTTCCTCCTCCTCCTTCTCTTCACCAATCTTATTCTTCTCTCAATAATAATAATAATAACAATGAATGGATGAACCAGAATCAATATCCGAAGTTCCCTCTTACTGCTGACTCAACTCAACAACACAACAACAACAACCAGTCCACCATAGCTAYGGCTTCCCTCCTTCAGCCTCCTCTCTCATGCATAKGCTATGGCGGACTRCCCCAAGCAGCTAGGGTGCTGTGCTGATGTCCGAAGGACAACYCAAGCAGCTATGGTGCTGYGCTGATGCCCAAAGGACCACTCRAAGCAGCTATGCCGCTGCTGACTTGGTCCGYTATGCCTGACTCTRCCTCGAGCTTCCCTGGTGCCGCATTAMCCCAACTGGGGCCTTCCAGATGCAGCGCCCAACAAGGTGATGAAGATGGTGCCTACCATAGCCAGGTMAGTGCCCCGCCACTCTCCTACTATGCCCCCTTCTTCCTCCTCCTCAAGCTGGAGTGCTCGCCATAGCCAGGCTGAGCTCCAGCGACCCTTCACCTCCAAGCAGCGCTGCACCAGTCCAGCGCTGCGCTCCACCAGCATGTYGCCAATCCTTGCACACCGCAAATGAGGAAGAGCTCTTTGCTCTTCCTGAAGATATAGCGGCCTACCGGCCTCCTGGGCGGTGACTTCCTAGGCCTAGCGGCCTCCCAGCAACCGGTACCTCCTCCCTTTCGGAGGGAAACATCATTGCAGGCTCTGCTAATCTCCGCACAGGCCCTAGACCCGGGCTACTTGGACTGGTACCGACCTACCTCTAACCTACCGCTACTGGGCCTCTAAAAATGCCAACTTTTTCTCTTCTTCTGCTCGGCCTCCAGTACCCGACACTTCTACCACTACTTCAGTGGTACCGGCCTACCTGCTACTTGAGTGTTTTTCCCCTCTGCTCTAAGTGTCGCGGGCCTACCCCCGCTACTCGAGTGTTTTTCCCCCTGCAACCCTTCACAGTCACGGCCACAGGTAAGTACCGGCCCTGCGGGGCCTTGCAACCAACAAGTACCCTTGCGGGTCACACACACACTCAACCTTCAAGCACTCAGACAGGCATGCAAACCAGCAGGCACGCACACACACACAGACATGGAAATCACAGCAGAATGCGGGAGTTTCAACAAGGCATTCATTCCAGCGGCAAATCCCAGAAATCAGCAGTGTTCTCAGTCTGTGTTTTTGGCGGGTCATTACAAGTTAGTTGTTACAGCCACTGCTGACAACTGACAGACTGTCGCAGGTAGAATCATAATCTATTTTTTGCTGCATTGCAATCTGTTTGAGACTAGTCGTAAATAGGAAGTAGAATTGTTGTAGGGGTCTGAACTTATCTTCTGTACCGCTTGACTACTTTTTGACATATCTGGACCGAACAATTATTTTATTTTTATTTGTTTAAGAACCGGTTGGTTGCCATGCTGCAGTAGGTCCCAGTGAGGGCATTAGTGCAGAGTGCATGCCGCAGGTAGCTCATGAGTGAAGATGACACAGAGGTTGAGAGACAAGATCAGGATGATAGGAGGTTGACCCGTAGACAGACGCTTAGTCGGCCGATCACTTACTTGGTGTTAGAGCCTGGTGAGAAAACGAGACTGTGGAGAGAAGTTGAGGGGAGAAGACGCTTGCGAAGGGCACAGGAAGCAGCAGCAAGCGCGGAAGAGAGCATTAGCAGCTGCAGCAGCAGCGCACTCTAGGGCTGAAGCGGAGGCAGTGATGGCGACCTCCTCTGCAATGTCTCAGGCCGCTTCTCAGGCCTCTTCGTCAGGTGTTAGTCAGGGTATGTCCCAGCCTTTCACTTGTCAGTTTGCTGGCTTGCAGGTCAGCCAGCAGCAACCCTTGTCAGCGGAGGATTACGAGATCCAACAGACGGATGCCCTTCATGAGGAGTTACAGCGTCATTTAAAGGAAGTAGAGGATAGAAGAGAGAATGCTAGAAGAAGAAAAGCCAGACTAGAAGCACAGGGGTTGGAACTAAGTAGGCTAGAAGATATGGATGGGGAAGCATTGACCCTGATGTACGGATGCTTCGGTCAAGTGCAGGCCATGCAACAGGAAATGTTGGCCACATTGATAGCTGGCCAGAACAAGATTCTGGCTGCGCTGCAAGTGCCAAGGCCTATGGCTAGGCCAGCGTAACCTGATGTAGCTCCTCCTGCGGTGGCAGGTCCATCTTTGACGGTGTCACCCATGAGAAGCCTCTTCCTCCGACAGTTTCGCATCAGTCCACCAGGGGGTACCTTAGCATGTTATGATTCTGGTTGTTTGTTGTCTGAGACCAACACTCGCACACATAGACTTCCAGGTATGCCCATGCATACACAGAAGGAAGGGGAGAGGATAGGAGTATCACACCGCACAGGGAGAGATAAACACAGCGGAAGACTTGACCATGCGGATACACTGAAAGCGCAATTCATTCCACTCAATCCTCACAACCAGTCATAAAGAAAAGCCGAGTAGATCACATCCAAGAAACAATGAAACAATGATAGTCCAAACCCAGTATTACACTGTTTATTAAACTCAGAGTCTCAAATTGTTAGGATAACCTCAGTACTACAGTGCGCTGCTCAGAAATGAGCAACGCTTCACTCCCCAACCCCGAGTAACCACCCGTGACACCCCTGAGCCCCTGAAACATCAAGCGCCACCCAGATACAGCCTCCACAGGGAAGCGCCACCCTGAAACAGGCCTCTGAGGCCAAGTGCCACTCAGAGGATGAAGAAGAAGACCAGCACCACAGTATCTGATGAGACGAATTGTCGGAAGACTTCCCAGATGGAAGTCTGCGGCAGTGCCACCAACTCCTGACAAGATGACCTCTGAGGAAGAAGTTGCAGCTATGGCTGCAGCACCCCACTCCGGAGGAGGGTCCAGCAGGGCACCAACTTCTCTCGCCTCCAGCAGACCTCGATAACCCAGACCTCTGACAGCCCCTACGTGCTGGCAGAGTAGAGCGCAGGTCCAAGCTATGGCCGGCGCTCCGAAGGTCTGGCTATGTCTGTCTCCTTCCACGCTGAGCCATCACCACTTCCGGTTCACGCGTAGCACAACAGCGATGCACTCGGTACCAACTGCCAAAAGCCATGAACCGATGTGCCCATCCTATCTATAGATTAAAACTAGCCTAGACTCGACCTAGACCGGACTGACTGACTGACGGGTACCGATTCAATTTCGGCCTCTCGGCCTCTACCTTACCCGGCTACAGGCTATAGGATCGTCCATCAGCATAGGCCTGTAGGGCCTGTCTGTCTTAGGGGTAGCCCGGGCCTGCTATTCGCAGTTAGGTTAGCTGTAGGAAATTCAGTTAATACGGGCCTGTATTTTCCCGTATTTACAGATATGTCCCTCACGAATTTTCCTCACAGGCAGGTCACTCAGTTGGCCCTTAGCCAAACAAAATTACGAATCTGTCCTACCCATAGTACAGCCTCGACAGAGAGAGGCTACAGGCGACCAGAAAACAGCAAGTCATTGCAAGCAGGTGTTAGTGGGCAGGCTCCGGGACAATCTTCTTTCGCTCGTTCACCGGCAGCAGCTACAGGGCAGCCACATGTCCAGCAGCCTATGCAACAGGTGTTGCGGCCGCAGCAGGTGCAGACGCCACTGCAACAACCTGTTCCACCGGTGTCTCAACCGGTGCAGCAGGCACAGGCGTCTGGGCAACAACCGCAATGGACGCCTAAGATGCCGTTGCTCACTCCTTAACCTTTTTCCGGCGACAAGAAAAAGGAGGAGAGCCTCAAAACATGGTTGAGAACAGTACCAACGTATGTGAGGCACAAGCTCATGAGGCCCGATGAGGAGGTGAACGTCACTGCGTCCTACTTAGAGGGGTCAGCACCAAGATGGTTAGACGGGTTAGTTTAGCAGCGCGGATACGGTTAGACGTTCAATGGTTGGGCACAAGCTCAAAGTTTGGAGGAGTTTAGCGTAAGTACAAGAAAGGTGGCATGACCCCCAAGACACACAAAAGGCCACCGACTCGCTTGTGAACATGGGATCTAGACAATATAGGTCCGTACGTGAGGTGACTGACGTTGTGGAGAGACTGGTCGTTGTCCGAGGCATATGGTACGATCCGCAAGTCCTTTTGACCACCTATTTGAGATGTCTTCCCACAAACGTCAAAAATAAATCGGTTGATGAGGCCTCCATTGAGGTACACGATTTTCCTGCTTTCAACAACAAGGCCTTAGACATTGAGGCCATGCTCGGGAATGCGCAGCAAGCGGTTGAGGATGGGAGGAAGAAGAAGATACCCAAGATTGGAAAAATAAAGGCAACCTCATGTTTGTTGACCATCACAACAACGCGACAGAGGTTGAAGAATTTTCTGACCTTGGGGATGATACAGAGGGGGAAGGGGGCTTAGATACTGCAGAGGGTGGGTTGGTAGCTCCCTTAAAAGAGAAAGCTAAGAGGGTCAGAAAACAAAAGGGCAGCTGGCCCAAGAGTCAAGGGACAGACCAAGACCCTCCAGCATGGTTCGAGATGGGGCTGAAGTACCGCGTGACCTCTATACTCGTGGTGCGTGCCTGATTGTGGCCAATACGGGTAGACAAGTTCCCGCTGTACAAGTAAGTGTGTCAACATGAAGGTCGCATACATAGTTGTAATTGTGGGACTTCTCAGGAAAACACATCAGGCCAGTAGAAGCAATAGTATCTTCTACTAGGGCTGAAGTGGTAGCCTCACCCTCTCCACTTCAGATAATGGTTGAGGCTATTGACTCTATGATCGCCTCGCCGACAGATCCAGACTAATCTATACTATGAACGACGGATGTGTCTGAGTCCTTACAGGAATTAGAAAAAGAGTGGTTAGAAAAAGATCCACGTGACTCCTGAGCAATGATGAATAGAGGCCCTAGGGGTGAATATTTTGCGGTAGAAGTTGATGTAAGTGGCCAGAGATCACTGAACAGATTCAGTAGCAGGTGCAGTTTGAACTTATGCAAAGGTGGTTTGACACGAAAGCACAGCTAGATCTCTTTTCACAAATTAAGGATGTTAGGAGACATATCACAACATTTTGCACAGACTGGGTAGGAGGGGAAAGAGAAGGATGGATTGCAAAAGTGGAATGGAGTGGAGATAGGGGAGAGGGGCAGCGGGCTTTGGAAGAAATAAGAGATTACCGTCTAACATTCAAGGACTGGACTAACATAGAACCCTCGTTCCCGCTCAGCCCACCCTTGGCCTTTCCAGACCCGTTCCCGCCGCATGCTTTTTCCCTGACCGAGATTCTCTCCTAAAATAACATCTTCCGAAACATCTACATACATATACATATATATAAAGCTCACCCCTACAAACTCCAGCCATAATCTATATGTCCAGGAAAGAGAAGGACGAAAGGAGATCCCACTGGTGCCCCCCAGGGGCTCCTTTTGGACCCTTCCTCGTGGCACTTAGGCAGGATTATGGGTCTCTGGACTTGGTTCCCAGTTAGCATGGTTGCCACATGGCTCAGAAGAAAGGAGGAACGAGTGAGTAGCGCTGTATCAGGCGTCGATTTCTGGATGAAGAGGCTCCCCTTCCCTGCTAACAATCTGCTCAGTCAATCCCCTGGAGCTCAGGGTAATCAATGCTGGCAGGAATTCTCTCACAATGCTTCTCCGATGTATCCATTTTCAGATTGTATAAGGGACGCTGGACCCGTTTTCCAGCAGGTGACGCTCCCCACCAATAGATGGAGCCGCCCCCCAGGTGCTAGTGGTGTCTGCTTTTACCAGCACCATTAACACTGGAGGGGGTTGTTTTTTGTAAAAAAAAAAAAAAAAAAAAAAAGGTGGCCGTAAAGTAGGAGCCTTTGCAGGCGTGGACTCTACGCGGAATTTCATTAGTCGTGCTTGTGTAAATAGGTTGCGTTTAGGGGACCAAGTAGAGCGGCTTAGCAGGTCTGTAGCATCTACCTTAGCCAACGAGCACCCCATGGTGGTTAGCTACTATGTCAAGGATGTAGTTTGTACCTTCTCCTATAGAGGAGAGGAACTAAGACATAAGATCTCGTTCCTGGTAAGGGACGAGCTTCCATTTGACATGTTACTAGGTATGTACTACCTCGAAGTAGCAAAGCCTCTGTTCGACTAGGATAGAAAGGTGATGTTCTACAAGTTGCCATATTGAAGGACCGTTAGTCTGCAGAATACAAGGCTAGCAGACTACCGTCTTCACCTGAATAGAACGCCCGGTCATTATAGTTGTATTTGGCACAACTTTCGGTCCAGATGCAGCGATAATAACCGAGTGTTCTATTCGGGTGAAGACGGTAGTCGAGACTTATGGTTGCATGTGTGCGTCAACCTTTTATAATTATTATAAGCAAAATATGGAGGAGGGTATGTACTTAGTGTTTGTCTTTGAAAAAGAGGAGGTCGTTAAAACACCCATAGAGATAGAAGAAGTTGTTGCTAAATTTCCAAACCTTTTCGAGGAGCCAAGGGGCATAGTCGAGAGGGAGGTGGTCCATGCCATTTAAGTTGTTCCGGATAGCAAAGTTCCTAAAGGACGCATTTAGAAGATGTCTCATGCGGAGTTAGATGAGCTTGGCCCACACCTTAAGGAGCTCATCGAGAAGGGTTGGATCCGGCCCAGTATGTCCCCCTACGGTGCACCTGTACTATTTGTTCCCAAGAAAGGGGGGACCCTGAGGATGTGCATTAGCGATAAGGGCCTCAATGCCATCGCAGTTAAGAATGCAGAGCCCCTACGACGCATCGATGACCTCTTGGATCGAGTGTAGGGATGTCAAATACTACTAGATTACAAGTAGACCTGAGGATCAACACAAAACCGCCTTTCAGACCACGTACAGTCTGTACAAGTTTGTGGTGATGCCTTTCGGTCTTTGCAATGTTCCTGAGACGTTCCGGCACGCTATGAATAGGATCTTTCATGACTACTTAGACAAGTTTATCGTCGTGTACCTCGACGTTAGTAAGATTGTCGAGGAGCACGCTAAGCACGTTGAGATCATGCTGAGTCTCCTGCACCAGCACCAGTATAAGATCAACTTGGAGAAATGTGAATTTGGTCGCACCAAGATCTTCTACTTGGGTCATGAGATTTTCGTGGATGGATTGATGTCGGATGATGCCAGAATTGCCAATATATATATTGTTGTCCTCTTTTCCCTCTCTGCCTACATATGAGTCGGTGAAATCGGTGAAACTCCGACGAAACAGTTTGTCACAACCCCTCGTTTGTTGTCCTTTTTTCCCTCTCTGCCTACGGTTTTACCGGGCATATATATATCGTCAAACAGAGCTGGGCGGTAAAACCGTAGGCAAAGAGGGAAAAAAGGACAACAAACGAGGGGTTGTGACAAGCTGTTTCGTCGGAGTTTCATCGACTCATCAGGAGGATGAACCCTCAACAGTCTACAAAATCCCCTAACTGATTACACTGTAAGTGATAATCCACTTAATATATATATATAATTATGAACTAAAATAGCGCACTTTGCTGATATAATTACAATCCTCTGGTTGTAGTTGGGAAAGGGCGATTGCAAGGAAGTCTGATGGTGTATAAAACGGGCGGTGGAGAATGTGAAGACCAATATTAGTTGCCGTCATAACACAAAGATTGGTGAGGTTCTCAGGCTGGTTTGTTGGATGTTGGCCAACAATTTGCACATCACCCAGGTGGTGTTGCAAGCCCAAACTGTGTTGGGTTGTTGTTGGTCAGTCATTTGCAGATCACCCATGTGGTCTGCGTGTGGCGAAACACAAACTTGTGGTTCATCCGCACAATGCTGGTCAGCCATTTGCAGATCCCCCATGTGGTTTACGCCTTGTGGGGTCAACTGCAATCCGGGCAGATCATGTCCCAATCCCTCAACATTTAGGGCTGCATCCTGAGTAGGGACTGTACCTGGAGTCGAGAGTGCTCAATCGGCAGGGACCACATCGTGTTGTACAAGTGAGTTGTGAATATCTAACGTCGTCGGGTACCGTTGTCGGTGTGAATACCCTTACAAGGGTATCCGCCCTGGTTTTTGCAAGTGACAGAAGACAAGTTTGGTTTAAAAAGTTTAAGTATACCGCGCAAGGCGCGACAATGTCTGCGGTTAAGATTGATTGAACGGTTGACTAGAGCAAAGAGTGTGTGGGCGCGCAGGTTTGAGGCGCGTACGATGTTAATTGTTGATGACTGAAGGACTGGCGTGATCGCCGGCCGGATTTTTTTTTGTCTGATTAAATTAGGATTAAAAAGAATATGCCTCTTGATTGGTACGCTTGCCCGTGACTCGTACACACGTGCGGAGGACGGTATTGACAACAAGGTGGTCTTGAAGTGTTTTCAGTAGGTTCGCGCGTCAGTATCGGTTTATTTACGTGTCCATTAAAACTAGACACAGACTTGGGCCTAGTATTATTGGTTACAGAGTCAGGGGTCGAGATCGAGCGCCGACGACGCGAGGATATCAGAGTAGCGCGAAGGGACTGAGGGGTGAGGGCCCGGTGGGGGTATCCTCCTTGGTTTTGTCGTCTGCGGCATCGAAATGATGCTAGCGATTTCTTTTTTCTCGTTCGTCGTTTTTCTGACGACTAAAAGTTTTTAAATACTTTTTATTTCATTGTCATATTATTATTATTATTATCTTTTTATGTTTCGGCGTTGCTTGGCCCAGACGCAGCGCCGGATTTAGAGGTTGTCACGACAGTCAAGGGCCTTGAGCACTCGCCTCTTTTGGCAAGCCCGTTCGAGTTCCGGTGTGTCGGGGTGTTGGCAGAATTCCCCTGCCCCGCCAGTCTTGAAGTTTGGGCTGGGGAGGTTAACGTGCGTGGGATCCGTGGTCGTGGCTTCCCTCGCTTCCTACTTAGAGAGCGTTGATAGTCTGAAGTGGAAGGGGATTGGAGAACATTTCAAACGGGCACAGAGGGGAGGTCGCTGCAGTAAGCCCACCTATGGAACCCCTCTCCGCTTTTGTCCGCAAAGTTCTCATTTGGGTATTGGCTGCTAGGTCTGCGCCAAAAAGGGTACCACAGAGCTGCAGCAGTTGGGGGCATGGGACCGACCCGGTTCCCATTTGAATATTCGCTACTATCATGAGGACCAGCCCGGCCCATTCAGACCCACGCTTGGGCATGCAGCAAGTCCTGCGCCCTTCAACCTATCGCCGCGCCAAGATCACTACGATAGGCGAGCGCAGGTTGCACTCGCCAGCAACCTGCCCCGGGACTGACAGATTCGGTGGTGAGCTGCTACGCACTCCTTAGCAGTTTCAACTTTCATGATCATCGTCCAGCTGTCTGTGACAACAGACACGTTTGTAGTGTCTGCGTTAGCACACGGTTTAGTGCCGACTGGCGTGGTGGGCAGCTCCGCTACGCAGTGATAAGGCCAGGCGCCCGACGGGAGACTGGCAAAGAAGCGTACGAAGGAATAAGAAAAGAGGATGGACCTGAACGTACACGAACGTTAGATGCCGTGGAAAGGAAGCAGTGGCGAACGGTAAGCAAGGCGCAGTCAGTGAGTGAGAACTCACTCGATTCCTGATGAAATCGAGTGAGTAGAGATGCTACTCCGAGGTTTCAAGGTGGGGCGATCACGATGGTTAGTAGCAACACGGAGAAGGTTAGTGGAGGTAGAAAATTGAATGAACGAATCTGGGTGTAAGCCGCCATTCACTGAGAAGTAAAGGTGAGCATGGCGATGGGGAAAACGTATACCTCACTCGATTTTTGACAGAATCGGGTGAGGGAGGAGCCTGCCTGGGGGGTTTAAGGGTTGGCGAGCCCGGATCTGCAGTCAGAATGGGAAAGGAGACAGTGTATGGATGGGTAGAAGAGAAAGAGGTTGCAGTGGGGATGTCGAATGAGCGGATATGGGAGAGGAGATAGGCACGAGACTCGGCTGCTTCCTTAGGAAATCGGCCGAGGGGAAGTGAGTTTTTATGGTTTTTAGGCCGAGGCCATTTGATAGTGTGGTTAGCTTTGGAGTTAGTTGAGTACAGTGGGTGTTAGATGGAGGGAACACTGCGCGGAGGTCGCGGAAGGACGGGATGGAAGAAGCATGGTTTGGCTGATTCCTGATGAAATCGATCTGTGAAGGGTGTCGAAGATGAGTTCTTGACCATTGCGGATCCGATGGTGAAGCCGGATCAAGGAATTAGTGGCTGAGTTGGCGGTATGAAGATTATGAATCGCGCTGGAAAGAAGACTTCCTTTATGTATACAAAGGTATAATGAATCTTCCCACGATTTGGGAAAGATTCACTCTTATATTGGACAAAGAATGACTGGTAAAAGGCTAACGGAAGCAACGATACAACGTGCGGGAGCAGCGCTAAGGGGAAGAATGAACTTACCTGGGTTTTGACAGAAGATTCATTACTATTTTGCTCACCCCGACGATGCGTACAATTTCTAATTCTAAACAGAGGATTCGTCTCGAATTTAGTGCGTAGCTGCAGGTAAGTTGGGTCAAGCGGGCGAGTGAAGGATGGGTGAACGAGCGAGAGAGAGAGAGGGRGRGRGAGAGAGAGAGAGAGAGAGAGAGAGAGAGAGAGAGAGAGAGAGAGAGAGRGAGRGAGAGAGAGAATACCCACCTGGGAAGCATGAGCTAGACTAGGCCAAAACACAAGATTGAAGCATAAGAATCAACCAAGAATGAATCGGGATACCACCAACTACTAGACGAGTGAAAGCATCAAAACACAAGATTGAAACATGAGAATCAATCAAGAATGAATCGGGGTATCACAAACTACTATGTGAGTGAAAACATGAGCTAGACTAGGCAAAAACACAAGATTGAAGCATGGGAAGCAATCAAGAATGAATCGGGGTATCACTTACTACTATGTGAGTGAAAGCATGAACTAGACTAGGCCAAAACACAAGATTGAAGCATGAGAATCAACCAAGAATGAATCGGGTTATCACCAACTACTAGATGAGTGAAAGCATGGACTAAACTAGATCAAAACACAAGATTGAAGGATGGGAATCAACCAAGAATGAATCAGGGTATCACAAACTACTAGATACGTGAAAGCATGGGCTAGACTAGATCAAAACATAAGATTGAAGCATGAGAATCAACCAAGAATGAATCGGGATACCACCAACTACTAGATGAGTGAAAGCACTAGTATGACTGTGTCTCTAGGAAGGGGAAGAAGAAAAAAAAAAAAGAGGAAGAAGAAGGAGAAGAAGGAGAGGAAGAAGAAGAAGAAGAAGAAGAAGGAGAAGGGGAAGGAGAAGAAGGAAAAGAGGAAGAAGAAGAAGAAGAAGAAGGAGAAGAAGAAGGAGAAGAAAAACAAGGAGAAGAAGAAGAAAAAAAAGAAGAAAAAAAAAAAGGAGGAGAAGGAGAAGAAGAAGAAGAAGAGAAGAAGGAGACGAAGATAAAGAATCTCCTCCTTTCCACTCACCTCCTTGATATCTTGGAGATGGAACATCAACCTTGATGAAGTCTCTCCCTTGCACAAGAATCTCCTTGGCTATGGCTCTCTTGTTCCCCAAACCCTCATCTTCCTCCTCTCTCAACCTCACCCAAGCTATGGCAAGCTTCTCCTAATATGGCTATGGAGTCCTCCCCTCTAGGAGGGCTAATGAGACTCCCTCTAGCCTCTCTCCCTCCCTCACAGCCTGGGGTCTATGGCGGACCACCTTCCTAGGCCAGCCTCACTTCCACTAACCTCTAGAGCTCTCTCTCCTAGCTCACAGTGTCTTCTAAGCTCTCCAACTGGTAGGGGTTTCCCTCTCCTCTCTCCAAGTGAGAAAGTGCTCCTATGAGCTCACTTGGGCAGCATGGGCACTCCTCATGCAAATGTGAGTGTGGCGGACTGAATCCTCAGCTTATGTAGGCCAAAACCAGCACTCCGGCCAGCCCATGGGCCTCCCCATGTGCCTTGAGGTGAACCGAGGTACCCAAGGCAAAATTCCACCACTAGGCCATTCCGGAGGTACCCGGACCTTATTTTGGCTAAGTACATGCAGTCCGAGTGGTTGGTACCAACTCGGATTGCCTCTTGGCCTCCTTCAGCCTCTTTTTCATTTCCAAAATGCTACCCCCTTAGGTCCTAATGCCCAAGGGGCAGCCTCACTTGAGAAAAAAAAACCTAGTGAGCCTTTTTCTCGATTTTTCCAGTTTCTACCCCATTTCTCGTAGGCCGAGGTATTTTCCCATGCCTCGGTGCAGTTTCAGCCTTGGATCTGGCTGAGATCCAAGGCCAACAATATTCCAAGTTACCCTCAAGTAGCCCTTGCTTCAAATTTGAGCCCCTAAGCTCACTTTTTCAATTTTTGGTGCATCTGGCTCTTTTTTTGGCCAAATGCACGTTTTTGTCTCTTTCCCTCTTTTGTTTCTTTACATTTTGGGCTGCCAACTCATTCCAGAGCTAGCCGTTTTGAGTTGGCCCACAAAAAACGGTTATTTCCTCTCCACCATAAGATCTGATCTCATATCTATGACCCACAAAAAAAAACGGTCACCTTCCTTTTGCATTTTCCCTTATTTTTCTCTTTTTAATTCAGATTTTGTGGAGATATTGCCCCAAGGGCCATATCTCTTCAGTCCGGATTGCCCTCCTCAATTCTAGGAGGGATGAGATCATAGTAGGGACCTGCTAGTCCCTACTATGCAGGTTCCAATAGGCTGACACATTCTCCTCCACCCTTTTCTCCCCTTTTGTCTCATTCTCCCTCCTTCTTCTCTCATTTTCCTTTTCTTTTCTTTTTATTTTTGATGTGACAAGTGTGACATAACTGTTGAGTTTTTTCTAGGCCATGGATCCTCATCCATGGCCAGATTCAGACTCAGCAGTTGACCGTTATATCTCGGACTACAATAATGACACCCCCATGCTCCTAGGGGGCTCCATTTGGTCTCCATTAGTCCCAATTTTGAGCCCCCTTTGCTCGGATTTTCTTTGGGCAGCCTTTTTTCTGTGTTGGGCCTCTTGGGGCTCTATTTTCTCATGCCTAGCTAGTCCGAGATATCTTGGACTGCTGGGCTGCCCTCCCAACACGATTATTTTGTTTTCTTTTTCTCTCATGACTCTCTCATTTTGTCCCACTAGTGCTTGCACTAGTGGTGCTAATATTTTCCACCGTCTAGATCTTTAATATCGACGGCGTCGCTTGCTTGCTTGTCCATTCCTTATGTTGGCTCATGGTTACCTTGGGACAACTCAAGCCCCCCCCACTTTCCAATACTAGTTCCATTTTTTTTTTGTCCCGCCGGTAGTCCCGCCGGCGCGTGTCCCGTTTTTCGACTATTATTATTTGGGCCCACTTAGTCCCCGATAACATCTCGGACGGTGTCCCATTTTTATTTTGGGACCTCCTTGCCCTTGGTGGTACCAATATCCCTTCCTTCGGTGCCACATGTGTGCCGGTTTTTCTTGGTCGCGAGATCTCATCTCACGGTTGTCGTTTACGTCTTTACTTGCCCCATGCCGAAATCACTCCTCTCTAACCTTTTGGGTTTGTCGTGGCCCATTTTCTTTTAGCCTAGGCATCCTTATGCAGTCCGTTATTTCTCGGACTGCAATTATGGTCATTTCCCTAGTCCCACAGCCCCACAACTTGCCCCACACTAAAGGAAAATGAAGCGTTTAACTCCCAAGTGCATCCGGGCTCAATATTGGCTCCGAATGCACCTAAAACGTGTGTTTTCCCTTCCCCACGCAGTCCATTGCAACTTGGACTGCAATAGGGGTCAATTCCCTAGCCCCAATGCCCCACAACTAACCCTCAATTGAAAGAAGAAGAAACGGTCAACTTCCAAGTGCATCCGGGCTGAATTTTGGTTCCGGATGCACCTAAAACATGTGTTTCTCCTCCCCCATGTAATCCGTTGTATTTCGGTTGCATGGGACCTTGATTTTTCTTGATTTTCTATGCAAAATCAAGAGAAAATCAAGATCCTTTGCAACCGTTATATTTCAGAATGTATCTGGTCACGGATGCATCTCCCCAAGTGGCCGTTTTTTACCGTTAAACCACCAGTACCTCCCCCACTGTTGGGAAATTACGTGATACTGGCCAGTACCCGAACTTTTCGGGGCTCGGCAGAGCCTCGGCGTGGATTCCCAACAGTGGGTACCAACTCCGATTATTCGTAATTTTTTTGTTTTTTTTGTCGGTTATTTTATTTCGTGGCCGGACGTTTTTTTTTGCCGTGGACCAACGTGGACAGCGGCGGCGATGTGGAAACGCTACCGGGTCCCTCCGGCGCCGGTTGTTGCGTGGCAGTTGGACGGTCGGTGGTGTGCGGTCGTCGGTGGATGGTTCGTGGTGGGCCACCGGGTTCACGGGGGGGGGGAGGGGGGACCAGCTCACGTCGACGCGCGACCCACCCACGTGGGGTTCTCCGCGGGCCGCCATCGCCTCTCTCTCTCTCTGTCTCCCGGCATCACCTCTCTCTCTCTCTCTCTCTCTCTCTCTCTCTCTCTCTCTCTCTCTCTCGTGGCTGTCGTCGTTGTCCCGTCGACAGTACGCGAGGAA